GCAGGAGTTCTCGGGCCCCCCCGGCGCCGCCCCCCCGCCCGGCGCCGGCCCCATGCCCGCCGGCTCCCTGTGCGGCACCTGCCTGTGCCTCGACCCCGACGTCGCCCGCGGCGCCGCGCACGCCAAGGACGAGAAGGTACCGGCCGCCGGCGCCCCGGCCTCCCCACGGCCACGGCGACACGCCGTGCCCTGGGGCCAGGAGCTGCCGGGGGTCTGTGCACGGTGTGCGGGAGCAGGGGGTCCGTGCACGGCGTGCGGTTGTGGGGGGTCCAGGCATGGTGTGCGGGGTTGGGGGGTCCAGACACGGTGTGCAGGAGCAGGGGGTCCATGCACGGTGTTGTGAGCAGGGCTCCATGCTGGGTGTGCGTGCACAGTGTGCCAGAGCAGGGGGTCTGTGCGGGGTGTACGTGCAGGCTGTGCGGGCGCGCGGTGTGCGTGCAAGGTGCCGGTGTGCGGCGGGTCGGCTCCATGCAGGGTGTGTGTGCGGTGGGCAGGGGCATGGGGTCTGGGCACGGTGCCTGTGAGCAGGGTGTGCAAGCTGGGTGTGCAGGGTGTGCAAGCTGGGTGTGCATGGGGTCTGTGCAGGGTGTGCATGGGCAGGGGTCTGTGCAGAGTGTACGTGGGCAGGGGGTCTGTTCAGGGTGTGCACGCAGGGTGTGCRTGGGCAGGGGGTCTGCAGGGTGTGCGTGGGCAGGGGGTATGCACAAGGTGTGCAAGCAGGGTGTGCATGGGCAGGGGGTCTGCAGGGTGTGCGTGGGCAGGGGTCTGCACAGGGTGTTCATGCAGCGCCCGTGAGCAGGGGTCCGTGCACAGCGCGCAGGGGGCAGCGCGCGGTGCCGCGCAGGGTCCGCGCTGGCAGCGCAGGGCGCGGGGTGCGCTCTCCCGCGCGGAGCCGCGCGCAGGGTTATGTAAAACGGCCTCGCGCAGCCGGCAGCCCGGTGGGCGCCGGCATCCCCCGCCGGACCCGCCGTGCCGGCGCCCGCCGGAGCGCGCCCAGCACCCTGCGGGTCCCCAGTGCGCCCAGAGCAGGGCCGGGGTGCCCGTGCCCGCTCCGTGGGCAGGCGCCGTGCCGGGGGGAGCGGAGCAGCGTCACCCACGGGCAGCACCGCTCGGCCCTGCCCGCCCGGCGCCCCCAGCCCGTTTCCCTGCCCCGGGGACCCCTGCCCCGCGGTGCCTGCGCAGCTCGGGCACCCTATTTATAGCCAGCAGCACCCCCGGGCGGTGGGTACACCTAATCCGCGTGCTGGCGGCAGGGATGGATGGGAGCAGCTGCCGGCGCCGCCCCGGTGCCCCCCTGCGCGCTGGGGGTACCCAGCCCCACATCCAACCCCCYGTGCCCCCATGCAGCTGCAGGGGAGCGTGTGGGGTCCGTGCTGGCATCCCTGGCGCGGGGCTGGCAGGGGGACCCCAGCAGCAGWGGGGACATGAAGGGGGAGCAGAATGGGGGGAAGCCCTGGGGTGCAGCTGCACAGGGAGCGTCCCAACCCAGTGCAAAGGCCGATGCAAACGGCGGGTTTGCACGGGCACCCTGGCACGGATCCGGCCTCGTTTGCATCCCGCTGGAGGCTGGAGCTGCCCCGGCTGCGCATCAGAGCTGCCCGGCTCAGCAGGGACCGGGGCTCTCAGCAGGGAGGCGTCTGACAGGGCCATGGGGGCTTCCCTGTCCCCATTGCACCCTGCTGCACCCCGCTGCACCCCRCTGCACCCCRCTGCACCCCACTGCACCGTGCTGCACCCCGCTGAACTGTGCTGCACCCTGACGT